CATCGTCCCTCTTCCTGCCCCACCAAGATGAGGCAAGCTGTGTCACCCCGTCCTGGATCTGGGGGCAGCCCCAAGACCATGGGGCACCTGCCACGTGATGGCCCTCAGCAGGAGTCTGTGCTCCATGGGTGCTCCCAGGAGGCAGGAACAGCCCAGAGAGGACACTGCCCACAGTCAACCCCTTGAGGCTTGGGCTGTAGGAGGAGTGCAGGCCTCGGGAGGGGGCCGTCCTTCAGGTCTACATTCCACCCAGGGGGCCTCTGCACAGGGGACGGCCAGCTCTGGCCACCCCGTGGGACCTACCCCAAAATGATTGAAAATTCCATCACAAGTCATCTCAGGAGAGCAGCTCACCTCCTCTCACGAGCACACCAACATCACAACCACCTGCAGAACCATCCACGGAAAAGACCAAACCCCACCAGAAAGTATCTTCCATAGCTAAAGACATGAGGAAGGAACGACGACGGGACAGCAGGAGTCCCTGACCCCCGGATGGGTGACCCACACACGAGAATAACGACCCTGCAGAGGTTCCCCCCGAGGAGTGAGAGCTCTGAGCCCCACGTCAGGCTCCCCAGCCCGGGGGTCCGGCACCGGGAGCCCCCAGAGCATCTGGCTGTGAAGACAGCGGGCCTTGACTGCAGGGGCCCCACAGGACGAGGGAGCAGAGACCCCACTCCTAAAGGGCCGCACAAAACCTCACACGCACCAGAACCCAGGGCAGAAGCAGTAATTTGATGGGAGCCTGGGCCAGACCTACCTGCTGTTCTTGGAGGGTCTCCTGCAGAGGTGGGGGGCGGTTGAGGCTCACCCTGGGGACACAGACGCCGGTGGCAGATACACTGGGGGACATTCGGCCCGTGAACACAGCTGCTGTGCTGCTGGGCTGACATCTTGGCCTGTGAGCGCCAAGACCAAGCACCACCCAACAGCCTGTAGGTCCAGTGCTGGGAGCCTTGGGCCAAACAGCCCCCTGGGGGACAGAGCCCCACCCGTCAGCTGACAGGCTGCCTTGGGACCTGCTGGGCTCACAGCCCCCTGGGACACGGCCCTGCCCACCAGACGGCGCAGCTCCACCCACCAGTGGGCAGGCACCTGCCCTACCCTCCAGGGAGCCTGCTCAGGCCGCTAGACCAGCCTTGCCCAGCAGGGGGCAGACACCAGACCAAGAAAACCACAGCCCTAAAACTGGACGACTATATGTAAAACAATGAAATTACTGTAAGTCCCCTACATACAAACTTTCAAGTTGCGAACGAAATATGTGTTCCACTAACGTCAGGCGTGAGTGAAATTGCAGCTCGCTCTCCGTCTCCTATCGCTGACGATCCTTCAGCTCTACCGTCTCCCACCCCCTCTCCCTCCTCAGTCAGTAACTCTTCTTGCCTGTTCCCTTGATGCCAGTATCCCAGCTGTTGCACTACTGTACTTTTCCAGGTGCTGTAAGATTAAAAATGTCCAGGGCTTCCCTGGTGGCGCAGCGGTTGGGAGTCCGCCTGCCGATGCAGGGGACGCGGGTTCGTGCCCCGGTCCGGGAAGATCCCACATGCCGCGGAGCGGCTGGGCCCCGTGACCCATGGCCGCTGAGCCTGCACGTCCGGAGCCTGTGCTCTGCAACGGGAGAGGCCACAAAAGGGAGAGGCCCGCGCACCCCAAAAAAAAAAAAAAAAAAAAAAAGGAAATGTTTTATTTTTTGTGTTTATGTATTATTTGTGTGAAAAGCATTATAAACCTATTACAGTACAGTACATAGCCCATTGTGTTAGCTGGGTACCTAGGCTAACTTTGTTGGACTTATAAACAAACGACTTACGAACGCGCTCTCGGAACAGAACTCATTCCTATGTAGGGGACTTACTTTAGAACATCCTCTAACACCATACACAAAATAAACTCAAAATGGATTAAAGACCTAAATGTAAGGCTGGATAGCATGGAACTCTCACAGGAAAACATAGGCAGAACACTATGACGTAAATCGCAGCAAGATCTCTTGCAATCCACCTCCTAGAGTAATAGAAATAAAAACAAAAGTAAACAAAGGGGACCTAAATAAACTTAAAAGCTTTTGCACAGCAAAGGAAACCGTAAAAGACAACCCACAGAATGTGAGAAAATACTGGCAAACAAAGCAGCCGACAAGGGATTAATCTCCAAAACATATCAGCTCATGCAGTTCAATATCAAAAAACCAAACAACCCCATCAAAAAAATAGGCAAATGATCTAGACAGATATTTCTCCAAAGAAGACATACAGATGGCCAAGAGGCACATGAAAAGATGCTCAACATCGCTAATTATTAGAGAAATGCAAATCAAAAGTACAATGAGAGATCACCTCACACCCGTCAGAATGGCCATCATCAAAAAGTAGGAACAACAAATGCTGGAGAGGGTGTGGAGAAAAGGGAACCCTCTTGCACTGTTGGTGGGAATGTAAATTGATACAGCCACTATGGAGAACGGTATGGAGGTTCCTTACAAAACTAAAAATAGAGCTACCGTATGACCCAGCAATCCCACTCTTGGGCACATATCCAGAGAAAACCATAATTTGAAAGGATACATGCACCCCAGTGCTCACTGCAGCACTGTTTACAGTAGCCAGGACATGGAAACAACCTAAATGTCCATCGACAGAGGAACGGATAAAGAAGGCGTGGTACAGATACACGACGGAATATTGCTCAGCCATGAAAAAGAATGAGATAGTGCCACCTGCAGCACCATGGAGGGACCCAGAGACGATCACACTGAGTGAATCAGACAGAGAAAGACAAACGCCATATGATATCACTTGTGTGTGAAATCTAAAAGAAAAAAAAAGATACAAATGAACTTATTCACAAAACAGACACACAGACTTAGAAAACAAACTTATGGTTACCAAAGGGGAAACGTGGGGGCAGAGGAGAGAGAAATTAAGAGTTTGGGATTAACATATACACACTACTATATATAACAGGTAATAAATAAGGACCTGCCGCAGAGCACAGGGAACTCTACTCAATACTCTGTAATAACCTATGTGGGAAAAGACTCTGAGGAACAGTGTATATATATATACAACTGAATCACTCAGCTGTGCACCGGACTGAAACTAACACATTATAAATCAACTATACTCCAATATAAAATTAAATTAATTAAAAAAAAGAAAAGAAAACCACAGTCCTGCAGCTTGTGGACCCAGCCTGCCCAGAGCAGGCCAGATCCGCCCTGGGACCAGCTGGGCCCCGGCCCTGCCCACTGGCAGGTCACCACAAGCTTCAGGACACCCTGGACCCCAGACCCAACTGTGTCAGGAACCGCTCCCCCACCGGCCATCCAACACCAGCTCTGGGACCCCTGGGCCCGGCTCCGCCTGCCAGTAGACCGGCACTAACCCCAGGACCTGGCCTCACCGGCCAGTGGGTGGGCAGCATCCCAGGGTCTCCTGGACCCCGACTCTGCCCACCAGGGAGCCAGCACTAGCCTGGGGTCCCCTAGGATTCCACAACCCGCCGCCTCGTGACCAGACCCCGCTAACCAGCAGCCAGCGGCATCCACACGTGGCAAGGCCTGGCGACCAGCCAGGCCAGGGGCCGACCAGGCCCACCAGACGCCCCACGCGGTCAGCCCCCTGCCTCAGAAGGGCTCACGCAGCCCCCCAGAGCATGCAGCTTGGGTGACGAGAGGCGAGAGCACCGCTGGGACACACAGGACGCCTCCTACAGAGGCCCCCTCTCCAAGGTCGAGAAACGTCACTAACAGACATAAAATACAAATAGCAACTCAGACAAACCGAGGGGGCAGAGGAACATGTTCCAGACGAAGGAAAAGATAAAGTCCAGAAGAACTAAGTGACGTGGAGCTGGGCGACCTGCCCGAGGAAGAGTCCAGAGCAGCGATCCTAAGGATGGTCCAGGAACTCGGGAGGAGAACAATGCCCAGAAAGATTGAGGATTTCAAGCCAGCAACAGCAGAACATTAAACCCAAGGGGGCCCTTGGAGGTGTGGCCTGGGTGAGGGCACGGGCGCCCACCAAGAAGTGGGCCCTGCGCCTATAACCCCAGTTCCAGGCTCCAGCCTGGCCCAGAGAGAGCACTGGTCCCCCACCCCCTCCTCCCTGGACAGATATTTACCGGGGACCCCTGGAAACCACACAGAGGTCTGACGCGAGGACCCAGCTCCCGCAGCTCAGCTCCGGTGCGGGGACAGGGCTATCGAGGGTCCACAGAATGCGGTCGAGTCAGATGGCAGTGGCTGTGCTGCAGGAGGGGTGGCGGGGGCCAGGGAGTGGGTAGCTCCACACAGGGTGGTGGGAAGGCTCCACAGAGAGGCTGGCGTGTGGCCACGGGCCCAGGGCCTGCAGGCTTGGGAGGGCCGTGGCCGCCTCTGCATGAAATGGGACCACGAGGGTTGGAGTGGGAAGGGCCACCACCTGACTCGTTGAACACCCGCTCTGGTCGCTATGTGGGAAAAGACCAATGGGACACAAGTCGGGAGATGGGGCACCCGGAGGAGGCTGCTGTGGCCACCGGCAGGAGGGGACAGTGACTGCCCTGGGGCCAGTGGGGCCAGAGGGAGATGGTCTGCCTGGACAGACAGGCAGCCGACAGCCTCTGCTTCTGGGTCAGGCGCAGGGGGGACGGAGGGAGGGGTGCAGGCACCCGCCCGAGCTGGGGTCTCCTGCGTTCAGGTGGGCGAGGCAGAGGTGCAGCCACGGGGGAGGAGATCAGAACTTATTTCTAAATTGTCAGAAGTTATGTGGGACTGTGGAGGAGGGTCAGCCGTGGAGCCCAGAACTGGGGCGGCCCAGCCCCTGGTGGCAGCGGTGGCCGCGTCTGTACGAGAAAGCCGGTGTGCAGTCTGCTCCGCAAGAGGGACGGTCAGGTCCGCATACTGGGGTTTATCAGGGGACCGGCCCAGACCCCCAGTGCAGCCTCGCAAAGGGCCGCTGGTCTCTCCGCAAGGGACGTTGCAGTCAGATCACACAGACAGGCAGACGACACCATCAGAAAACATGTGGTTTATTAGGGTTAGCTGTGGCAGACGTTGGTGCGTTAATAGTTCTAATACAAGGGTCCCCACTAACAGCTTACGTGTAGGAAGGTGGCTGAGCGGCAGCAATGACAATAACCAGTAAATTGCTTATGATCCTAACAGGTTGATGCCAGCAGTTGGTGAAGGAAAGAGCAGGAGGGTGGGGCCCTGCAGGGAGTTTCCAGAGCTCTCATCACAAGCCCCAGGGCCCCCAAGAGCCAAGGGGAAGCTGGGGTCACCACCCCCCATCCCAGCAAAGGAATGGGCCCTGGCGGGGTTGGGACCTCCAGTGGCTGCAGGTGGCATCTTTTCCTAGAGATTTTTTCAGGCGTGAAACCACTTCGTGTGGCCCAGCATGGCCTCTGAGTTACAGGGCGGTACTGAGTTCACAGGCGTGCTTGGGCCCAGTGTCCCGAGTAATATGTCCATTCTCCCAGGCGTGGTTTGGATAGGCTGCATGTCCAGGGCCCCTCTGTGGCCTCTGTCCTCCTGTCACCTCGAGCCCAGGCCGTGTGTGACCTCGCTTCCTTTCCAAACCCAGCTCCCCTGCACCACGGCGATGGCGTGGCGGTGGTGCTCCAGGTATGGGCACGGAGCTGCCAACATGGAGGGTGACCCCAGTTCAAGACTTGCTTGGTGCAGCAAGGACGGAAGGGTGCTCCCTAGGGGCCTCCAGACGCTGCTACCTGCACCCCTGACTCAGCAGGTGGACGTACCCTGTGTCCCCTCCCAGATGAGGAAACAGTCCTGGTTTCAAATAACTTTTTTCTTTTAAATATGGGCGATTCTTTAACCAGATCTGTAAAGGTGACTGAATATGCCTCTATAAGAGCTTTCAAATAAATAAATTCATGCATCGAAAGATTACTGGTCAAACCACGTGCCTGGTATTTAATCTGGGATATGGCCTTGCCATGGCATGCTTCTGGGAGGTGGGGGGCGGGCTGTGACCTGCAGGCGGGACGGCTGGGCGTCTGGGGTTTGTGGGTGGAGTTTCTGCCGTTCCTTAGCCCGAGAGCAGGAACTTTCTCACGGCTGCCCAGCTGGGCAGGTGGGGCTGACCTCTCTTTGCATTTTCTACATGTTTTTCTCCTCCAAAGAGAAGCCAGAGGAATAAGACGTGGCGATGAAGCCGCTCTCTGTTGGGACCCAGGTGCCATCCCCCGGGGCTGGGTGCCTGGGCGCCTCTCCCTCCCAAGGGGCAGGGGCAGCAGGACACGCACCAAGGCCCCCGCCAGCTGACGGTCGCTGGGGTGAGCAGCTCGGGGGCCCTTGGAGGTGGACCGAGAAGCAGACCTGGAAGAACACGGCACACGTGGGGCATCAGCTCCCAGCGCTGGAGGAGGAGGGGAGTGGGGAGTCCTGCCCCCAGCCTCCGCGTCAGGCAGGGAAGCCTTGGGGTGGCAGGACCGCACCTCCCCCAAGGTTCCACGCCCCGGCGGCTCCATCCCCACCACGGCCACATCTGCAGGTGGGGCCTCAAGACCTGACAGTGAGTCCCATTTCAAAGTCAAAGTACCCCCCGGGTGGGTGGTGACCCCGTTTACTTCTGGCGCAATTGAGGGCCAAGGGGTGGGGGGCTGTGGGTTTGGCACCAAGAAAGGCAGCGGGGCTGCTGTGGCCTCAGGCCTGCAGCCATGGGCAGGGCCACCGCGTGGGGAGCTTCTCCGGCCACCAGAGGTAGCTGTGCTGCCAGCACCGAGGCTCCCAGGGCGGCTGTGGCCCGGCAGGCGGGAACTGGGACAGGCGTGTCCCGCACGGGGCTCCTAGGCCTGCCCCCCGGGGCTGCACAGGGCTGTCGGGCATCCATGCCTTCAAGCCCCCTGGTTCCCACCACCCCCCCGGCTCTGCTTCAGAACAGACGCTATACACACGAGCCACTCCATCTCCAACACAACCATCCTCTGAGCCCCAGGTAACGCTAGTCAGCGACGAACAGCCGCCCTGACGTGCCCCGCGGAGGGAAGGGGGCGAGGGTGCCTCTTCTGGGCCAAGCCCCACCTGCCCCACAGCCCACCCCGGGCTCCCGGCGGACAAGGAGCTGACGCGGGTCACGGGGGGACATGTGCTGAGGAAGTGCAGGCATGTTCTGGGCCGCGGCGGCGCCAGTCTGCCGGGGAAGTGGATGCCGCCCCGCATCCGGCGGCCAGAGGGGGGGCCCTAGCCGAGGCAGTGAGGGCGGGGCGCGGGGTGGCGGGAGGGGACCCCTCCAGTTATTGCAGCGGGGGTCCTGGGACCCTGCGGAGCAGGAGAGGCCGGGCAGGGCTCTGCGGCCTAAGGCCTTCCAGCACATTCTCTGGGAAGTGCTGTGACCTCCTATTTTTGCATAAAGTGTCCACCACTTAAGGCAGATCCAGTGGCGGACGGCCTGATGTGCGACAAGACTGTCTTTTCTTTTTTTTAGTAAATTGTGCTAGGGATTCCTCCAATTTGTGATTTTTGTTTGTTTGTTGGCAAGCCACATCTAAGAAGCCAGCTCCTGCCCTTCCTCTGCCTGCTTCCCCGACTGTGGCCCGACGGCTGGCCAGGGCACTCAGGGCGGGGACCCCGTTCCTGCCGCCGCTGTCCTTTGAGAGACCCACGTGTTTATCTCGCGGAAGACGGAGCTGGTCACTTCAGGAAGCTCTTTGTGGAGGATGTGGTAGGCACCTTCGTAAATCTGCAATTAGGAAAGACAGGAAGTCACGGCTACCACGAGTGACGTGTTGGCAAGGCGGCCGGGCAGCGGATGGAGAGGACCCCCTCTCCACGCACCCACACCTGGTCAGCAGGTGGTGCTGCAAACAGCTGGAAAGGTCCCAACATGTTCATCAGATCCTTTCTTGAACCACTGTCCCCTCTCCACGCCACTCCACCTCCAGCCTTGCCCCACCTGCGCCTCCTCTCCTCCCTGTGGGACCCCAGCCTGACCCGGCTGACCCTCACTCCTACCCGCCCACGGCGGTGGTCCTGACACCAGCTCCACGGCCCTCACATAGCGGTGGCCGGGGATCACTTGCACTCTCGTAGGACTTGGCTTCTCAGCATCATTCAAAAGCTGACCAGGGGAACCTTCTAGAAACACCTTCCTCCGTGGTTCCCACAGCTCTCGACCCTCCTGGTCTTGCTGCCGCCTCTGAGTCAAGGCTGCAGCACGCCACCCTCCTGAGCTGCAGGCTGGGGCGGCCGAGGCGGGGTTGGGCCTCTTTCCGCCTCTCCCCAGGAGCCCCGTCCAGGCCCCTGGCTGTAAAAACCGCCCGTGCGCCAATGACTCAGAACCTGTGTCTCCAGCCAGACCCCCCCTGAGCTCTCCATGTGTCTAACCACCTGCCTACTTGCCATTTCAGCGATCCCTAACAGCTATCTCCAAGCTTGTTTGTTTGTTTCTTTAAACTGTAGTACACATCATATAACATGAAATTTACCATCTTAACCACTTCTGAGTGTACGGCTCAGTGGTGTTAAGTATCTCTGCACGCGGTGCCATATTCTCATCCTCCACAACTGAATCCTGTCCCCGTTACAGCGCCCTCCTCCCAGCCCTTGGAAACACCACCCTACTTTCTTTTCTTTTTCTTTTTTCGGCTGCGCCACTCGGCTTGCGAGATCTTAGTTCCCTGCCCAGGGCCCCAGCAGTGAAAGTGCGGAGCCCTAACCATTGGACCGCCAGGGAAGTCCCTCTACTTTCTATTTCTATGAGCTTTGACTACTTTGCATATGTCATGTGCGTGGAATCACGCACTATTTGGCCTTCTGTGACCGGCTCATTTCGCTGAGCACAGCCTCCTCCAGGCTCATCCGTGTGGCAACGGGCGTCAGAACTTCCCCCTTTTCGAGGTTGGAAAACACCCCCTTGCCTGGACGGACCACCTCCCCTCAGTGGGCACCGGGGCTGCATCCACCTCTTGGCCGCCGTGAACATGAGGTGGAAATATCTCTTCGAGACCCTGATTTCAATTCTTTTTCTGAATTTCAACTCTCTCTCGGGTGTGCCAATGTGGGACTTGCGGCTGGGACCATCTCCCGCCGTGATGGGAGTGGCTTTCCTTCCCCTCCTTCCTCCTGCTGTTCGTCCGGGCCTCCCTCTGGCAGGGGTGTTGGGCCAGGGGCTGCCACTCTTAGCCGCGACGGAGGGGCGCTGGACAGTGCAGACACGTGAGAGCCTTTGTAGCACAGCGCGCTGGGGCAAGCGGTGCAGCAGGCTCGGGGCAGAGAGCCAAGCGCCAGTCCCGGCACCCATGCAGCAGGTGTGGCACCTGCGGGGAGCTGCCGCGTTCCCTATAACCTAGCGGGAGGTGGCCCTCTACCGGGGCGTCCACTCGGCCGTGCCCAAGCTGGGGCGGCACTGTCCAGGGACACGTCTGTTCGCGCGTGTGCCCTGGGGTGGCGGTCTGCCCAGCCGAGCACGCAGAGCCACCTTCAGGCCCTGCTGCCACGTGGCAGGGACACAGCCGGTGCGCCTGCTCTCCCCACCCTCCAGCCAGCGGTCTTCCCGGTTCAGCCAGACACCCAGGAACTGCTCCACCTGGAACAGCATTTTCCATCCTGCTGTGCGTGACACGCCTAACGCTCTCTGAGGAGGACGACCTTTTCTGCCCGGAGGCCAGCTGCGGACGTGCCTCCCCGGGGGCCAGGCCAGCCCTAAACCAAGGGGACGTGGGGCAGCTGCTCACCTTGAGCGTCTTGTCCTGGCTCTTGGCGGACTCCATGAGCAGGTAGGCACCCCTGCTGTCGCACAGGCGGTCGGCAGAGCCCTGCAGCAGCAGGAAGGGCAGGGTCAGCTTGGGCAGCGCCCGCTCCACCCTCGACACGGCGTTGAGCAGCTGGGTGCCGAAGCACACCTTCAGGCCTGCGCGGCAGATGAGGGGGTCCGTGTTGTAGATGTCCACCTGCGGGAGGAGAGAGACAGGGGCCCGTCAGGCCCTCACGGTCCCTCCTGCTCTGGCTCTGAAGAGCCGACCCCGGTGGCGGGCCTGGGGTGGGGACCCCCAGTCAGTCTGGCCGTGCTGCCCCTGCTTCCAGCCTGCTCTGTGACCCCCCCCACCCACGCCTGTGCCCTGGGACGGTTTCAGTATCAAGCTGTGGGTTTTCTTCACGTGAGCGACATCGTATGTTCACTTTGATGAGTTCACACAGGAACAGCTCAGAAGATGTTTTGGTGTCAGTCTGAGTGGATTCTGTTTTCTCTAAGTCTGTCTGTCCTGACACAGTGTCCCCTGGTTGAAGAGGGTGAGGGGCACCCACGACTGCCGGGTCACAGGGCTGTGTGTGCGGGAACGAGGCCAGGGAAAGGCTTGGGCAGGACACCCCCGCGGGCTGCAGGACGTGGCTCCAGCAGGCTGCCTGCCAGCCTGAGAGGCAGGTCTGCTGTCCCCCTGCGCCTGTGGACGTGGCTGCCCCTCTGCCGGACGTGCGCAGCGGCCGGGCCTGCCCTTCTCAGCCGTCAGCCTGCCGGACCTCCTCTGACACTGGCCTCGCCTGCGGCTGAGGATCTGACCATGCCCTTTGCGGGGCTACCCGGGCCCCGTCTTGACTTTCTGGCTTCACTCCTCTTGCCCCAAGGGGACAGTGAGTGGCCTGCTTGCTGTGAGCTGAGACGGCACACATGCCCACAGAACTCTCTGGACCAGGTCGGGGCCGTGACACCTCTTCCCTCACCTCTCTTTTCAAGAGCTGTGTGGTGTCAGGAGGGGTGAGGGAACAGAGGGTCAGCTGCCCGCGAGGAGGCTTGAGTGTCCACTGTGTCTCCATCTGACTCTGGGCGGGGGCCGCGTCTCCCTGTGACAACTCCCCGGCAGGGTCTCATCCAGGGTCCCAGATCCACTTGGAGAGGGACAGGCTGTCCCAGGTGCCCGCACCACCCTGATTCTTCCGGAGCAGACGAGCCAGACCACTTGGGAAAAGCCACACGAGATGAATGAGCCCCTTACTGCAGCGGAGACGGCGGGCCTCCCGCGGGGCCGGGCCACCAGTCTGGGGGCCGAGAACACGGGAGCGGCAGGGGCTCCTTCAGGGTCTGCAAGGAGGGCTGCTCGGGAAGAGGCGGCGGGGCCAGAGAGCCCTGGCTGCCAGGTGTCCCGGTGAACGAACGCCCAGGGCCAGGGCCCACGAGGTCACCTCCTTCCTGAGCGGCCTGGCGCCTGCCCTGCTGACGGCCATGAAGCCCCGCAGGGAGTCAGCTCCGGGTTAACTGCTCTGACGGCCCAGGTGGCTTCCCACTCTTGGCTCTTTTCCCACGACTGGAGCACGTAGGCGCTGTGTACACAATGGTCCATTCTAGACCTGGGAGGAGCCGCCAGCTGTGTCGGGGAAAGGGCAGGCCCCTGTGCCAGCCACCGCCGCACCGGGGGGGGGGGGGGGGGGCAGAGGGGCAGCCGGGAAGGCAGGGCAGGGACCGCCTCCTCTCAGGGAAACAGGCTTAGAAGCCCAAACCCTCCCCTAAGGTAACCAGCCCCGCCCAACCCCAGGGCCTTTGCCTTCTGAGGGCTTAAGACCTAAATCCACCAAAAGTTCTCCTAGTGGGGGAGGGTCGTGTCGTGTCCTGTCCCCCAGGCAGGACAGCGTTCTCCCTCCCAGCCCAAGCCAGGCCCGGAGCACCCGTCAGCAGCCTGAGGCCATTCAAAACCAAAGACCGAACAGTCGGTGTCCGAAGATCACTTACTGTGGGATTCCATCTCCACGACATTCTTGAAAGGACAAACCGGGGGCTTCCCTGGGGGTGCAGTGGTTAAGAATCCGCCTGCCCGTGCAGGGGACACGGGTTCGAGCCCTGGTCTGGGAGGATCCCACGTGCCGCGGAGCAACCAACCTCGCTCGCCACAACTACTGAGCCTGTGCTCTAGACCCCTCGAGCCACAACTACTGAGCCTGTGTACCACAACTACTGAAGCCCGCGAGCCTAGAGCCCATACTCTGCAACAAGAGAAGCCACTGCAATGAGAAGCCCGCGCACCGCAACGAAGAGTAGCCCCCACTTGCCACAACTAGAGAAAGCCCGCGCGCAGCAACAAAGACCCAACACAGCCAAAAATAAATAAATAAATTTATATTTTAAAAAAAGGACAGGGCTTCCCTGGTGGTGCAGTGGTTGAGAGTCCGCCTGCCGACGCAGGGGACACGGGTTTGTGCCCCGGTCCAGGAAGATCCCACATGCCGTGGAGCGGCTGGACACGTGAGCCATGGCCACTGAGCCTGCGCGTCCGCAGCCTGTTGCTCTGCAACGGGAGAGGCCACAACAGTGAAAGGCCCGCGTATCGCAAAAAAAATAAATAAATAAAAGGACAAATCAGAGAAATGTAGACCAGACGAGTGGTAGTCAGGCTTGAGGGCGTGGGGCTACAAAATGGCAACATGGGGTCTTCGTGGGGACGGCCTGACTCACCCCCGAGGGTATCCTGGTCGCCATAACCCTGTGGTTTTGCAAGATGTCAGCTCTGGGGCAAACTGGGCAAGGCACACAGCTCCTCTGAGTTATTTCTCACAACTGCACGTGAATCAGAGGTCTCAAAGCACAAGTATAGTTAAAAGCACAACAAGGACTCGGTCTCTGGCGATCTCTCTTGCCCCCCTAGCCCCCATTTCTGGAGCACAGCCGCGAAGACATCAGCTGGAGGCTGTGGACCCAGGTCCAAGCCAGGGCATCTTTGCTCCAGGTGACCAACCTCTGGGGGTGTGTCCACCGGCTGAGACGTGACGTCTTTTCTCTTGGGGGGAAACCCTGTGAGGAAGACCACCCAGCCCTGACGTTTCCCAGCTGTGTGACGTGGGCAAGGCTCTTCTTTCTGGGATGCAGTTTGCTGATCTGTGAAATGGGGGTGACGGTGGTCATGCCCCGGAGGACGCCGGGCATCTGGATGGGATGTGCGCCCACAGCGAGGCTAATGCCGTGCGGCTGCCTGACCCCAGCGCGGGGCAGCGAGGTGGGGCGCCACACTCCTCGGCCTGGGTTGCCCATCGAGGAAGGGTCCTCTTCCGAGCCCCAGCCTCTTCTGGTCTGAGGGCTCTCAGCAAGGTTGACTTGACAGCTGGGAACAAGCCAACTGGGGCGCCTGCCTTTTTTTTTTTTTTGCGGTACGCGGGCCTCTCACTGTTGTGGCCTCTCCCGGCGCGGAGCACAGGCTCTGGACGCAGGCCCAGCGGCCACGGCTCACGGGCCCAGGGAACCACTGCGCCACCAGGGAAGCCTGGGCCTGCCTTTTGAAAAAGCTTCGCCCTGAAGCACAGGAAGCAACCCACAGTTGGGAGTGATCTTAAACTTCTGGTTGAGCAAAATCCAGGAATCACCCCCCCACCCCCCCCCAGTCAGATCTCTTGACCTCTTTTTTGAAAAGCTGTTCTGGGATAGACTCAAAATTAGATTTTTAATTGCAACAGTATTAGAAATAACTAGCCCTGAGCCCTCACCTCTGTGCCAGGTGCTGTGCTGAGTGCTTTACATGTACTTGCTCCTCAAGTCTCTGCAGGACCCCTACGCAGGGACTGTCATTATTATCCATTTTACACATGAGGAGACTGAGGCTCAGAAAGGCTGGGTGACTCACGCAACGTCACACAGCAAGTAAGGGACAGAGCCAGGATAAGAACAAGGCAGTCGGGCCCCACCATCAGCATTCCCAACCTCTCACCACGCTGCGCTACGTGTTTAGACAGGGGGAAGTCAAGGTGAGTCCTGTGGGCTCAAGCGGCCAGGGGGCGTGGAGTTGCAGGGAACCAGCACGCCCCAGGAGAGAAACGGGTGCGTCCCTGGTGAGTACTGTAGCATGCTGCCACCCTCACGGACTGCGACAGGGTGGGGGGGCCTCTGAGCACAGGTGAGTGTCCTGCCCACGTGATTTCACACTTCCCAGAGAGGCCCAGCCCAGCAGGCCCAACCTCCTGCGTTCCCTCCCAGGCACCTACAGACATGTCTGCAGCTGGTCTTCCTGACCCTCCTTCCAGCCCATCCCCTCCCTCTGCCTACGGAAACCTCATCTTCCACCTGCTTCAGGGCCACCTGGGATTCCCATCTCCTTCCTCCGATGTTTCCATCTCTCTTAATCCACCCATTTTCACCCCAGGGAAATCAGATAGCCTTCCCCAGCATACTGGAGAGAGCAGGGCAACTCTACCCAAGTGTCCTCTGGAGCCAGAAACCTGTGGGAACCCGAAGATGAACTGGCAGGTCTTTGCAGAGGCCATGTCTTCGCCCCCGCCTTGGTCTTGAACGGCAGGACTGCTACAGAGGGAGCTGGACAAGAGAAAGCCTCTCCTAGGCCTCGCCTCCGGACTTTTTGTTGGAAAGCTCAAGCTTCCCCCCAACCACCCTGCCTCTTTGTCCGCTGTTAACAGACCCATGATGTGACCCCGAACACGGGGCCTGGTCCGAAGCGCGAGTGACACAGTGTCTGTTGACCTGACGTGCCACCTGCAGGGTGGGGAGGGGACATAAGGGTCCCGCCTGATTCCACAGAGTCTCCCCAGCACGGCCGACTGAAGCAAGCCCTGTTTACTGAGGCCCAAGTTCCCGCTATGACCCCAACCCCGGAGCAGGCGCCCTGCCCTGGGGGACTGAAATTCCTGAGCCAGACCAGAGGAGAGCCGCCAGAAGTAAGGACCTGCAGTTCCACTTTGGACAGAAAGAGGACTAATCGGGATTAGCCTACATGTATACACTGCCACGGATCAAGGGCGTGTGAATCACCGAACATCTTTTCCCGAGAAGTGCTTTTTGCTACTAAAGCTTGAACTCCTGTTCACCCTCGTACCTGCTTTTTGAGCCCTGAGGTGGGCCGGCAGGTCAGGCCCTGGGCAGGTGGGTGCAAGCGGTTTGCACAAACCCACCACAGGGCACTGGAACCAGAAGCGATGCAGAGGGTCACCTTGCTTGTGCCTTGGGAGTGGTGGTCCCTGC